CCCAGTCAGGTTCATAGCCAGGGTCAAAGGTCGGCTCCTCCTCAGAGGTGCAGGAGTCGCCCCCACTGGAGTCCTTGTGGGAAGAAAGGAGAAGAGAGTGAGGGGCTACAGATTCAGAGTTTCCAGATCTGAGCCTCAAAGCCACCCTGGAAGGTAGCCCCATGGAACAAAGAGGGAAACTGAGGCACAAAGGAGGTACAGCACTTGCTCAGAGTCACCCAGTGCAGCCAAGGAGTGAGCCAGGGCTTGAGTCCAGTCTCCCGGTGCACGGGGAGGTGAACGCTACGCAGCAGGTAGCTCTGCAGTCCGACTGCCGGCGCTCAAAGGAGCGGCTGATACTCGCTAGGGAAGTGCAAATGGAAACCACGTAAGATGGCACTTCACGCCTGCGAGGTTGGTGGGCGTCAAAAAGCCAGATGATATGTGTTTGTGAGGATGCAGAGAAAGTGGAACCTTCATACACCGCTGATGGGAATGTAAAATGGTGCCACCGCTTTGGAAAAGTCTGGAAATTCCTCGAAGGTTAAATACAGAGTTACCATAGTGACCCAGCAATTCCACTACTAGGTATGTACCCAAGAGAAATGAAAACACAGAAACTCACCCACTGATATGTTCCTAGCAGCAGTACTCGCAATAGCCAAAAGGTGGAAACAACCCAAATGTCCACAAGACTGATGAATAAATAAAATATGGCACATCTATGCCACGGAATGCTATTTAGCATTAAAAACAAACAAAGTACCAATGTTACCACAACATGCATGGACCTTGAAAATGTCCCGACGCCCAATGCAAAAGAGCAAAGGATCACATATTATATAATTCCATTTACACGAAACAGCCGGAATAGGCAAATCCAGAGACAGAAAGTAAGTTCATGGTTGCCAAGGGCTCCAGGAAGGGAAGAATGGGGAGTGACTACCAACAGGTACAGGGTTTCTTTTGGAGACGATGAAATGCTCTGAAATTAGACAGCGGTGATGATGACACAACCTCCTCAATACACTGAAAACCACCGAACTGCACACTTGGAGACAGGGTCTTGCTCTGTCACCCAGGCTGGAGTGCAGTGGTACAATCATAGCTCACTGTAGCCTCAAACTCCTGGGCTCAAGCTTCCCTCCTCCTGCCCCAGCTTCCCAAATAGCGGGGACTACAAAGGCACACCACCATGCCTGGCCTGCTTTTTAAAATTTTTTGTAGAGATGAGGTCTCACTGCGTTGCCCAGGCTGGAGTACAGTGGCTATTCACCAGCAAGGTCCCAGATCACTGCAGCCTTGAACCCCTGGGCTCAAGCGATTCTCCCACCTTGGCCTCCAGAGTAGCTGGGACTAAAGGCACGGGCCATTATGCTTGGCTCATTTTTTATTTTTTGTAGAGATGGGGGTCACACTATGTTCCCGGAGCTGGTCTTGAACTCCTGGCCTCAAGTTATCCTCCCACCTCGGCTTCCCAAAGTGCTAGGATTGCCTGGTGGCCCGAAGACAGCTTTGAGCAGACAGTTCCCTGCCTCAGCGAGAGGGTCAGATTAAAACGTGAAAGCTCCAAGAATGTTGCAGCAAACACCATTTCAGAGCTCACAGCGTAGTTCTGGAACTAAGACACTCGGAGTAGCAGTGGAGGAAGAATCTCAGTTGCAAAATTTGCTGCTTTTCAGCCTTCGACCCAAGTCAACGAATTAGGTCAATCTGCACAGCCTAAAAATGCCAAAATGCCGCATCTGGGTAAATGGAAGGGGAGGGGAGGTGTTCGCTTTATTTGCCTTGTTTACCCACCCTGCCCAGTAATGTCTGTAATCATGAAGATGGAATAAATTGGAACATTTAGCTTCCATCATTAAAAAATAATAAATAAATAAATAAAAATAAAAGGCCACTAGGGCAAGCACTGTAGGGTCTCACTAATCCAAGCAAGCTCTGACGTCACCCAACCAAGGCCAACAGGCTCCTACCTCTTGGAGTCTTGTGGAGTGAGAAAAACAAACTTGTTGCCTTAACGTGCCGTCGGCCCAATTTGGTGCTCCTTGGAGCTGATGTGTCCTGACTCGCATGTGAGCCTTTTCTGCAGAAGCCTGTCTCGCTGGGTCTCTGTTATTCAAGAATAACCGCCAAGAGCAGCAACATCCTCAAGAAAGGCACTCAGAGTGTCCGCGAGATCAGTGAAAAGTGCAGACTCCTGGCTGCTTCTTTGCCAACAGTGAAGCCAACTCCCTCAGGAAGGGCTCTGGAATCTACATTTGTACCCCCCACACCGCAGCCAGGTCGTTAGAAAGTCTGATGAAATTTAAGAAAAACTAATACAGAACTGCTCTTCCCATCTAAAATAAAATTGGTTTGAAAGGTGAAGTCACTTGCCCAGGGGGACACGAGAGAGGTGGGACGCCCCATCTTTCTGGTTCCACATCTCAGTGTGCTGCCCCGAACTGTCCCTCCCAGACATCCTTGGGCCCCCAACACTGTGGTGCTTGAGGAAGGGGGAAGCCAGGTCCTCCTGGGCTCTTACTGCTCATCAGCTCTTTTAACCTCCACTTTCGGAACGCCTGGGTCTCCAGGAAAGCACGTTAGGCTGCCTCAGGTTATAAAGTCATCTGACAGGGACAGTGGCGCCTTTCTGGCAGCATGTTCATCCAGACCAAGCGAGGTATGTGCAGGATCACAAAAATCCACAAATTCCTTTGAACAGACTATATAAGGCCCCCTCTGCCCACTGCCCTGTCAAATCCCATTCATTTTTCAAGATTCAAGAAGTGTCAAACCCTTGTCGCCTCCTAAATCTGTCCCCTCCTCTCTGTCCTCCCCACTCCAGCTGAGGCTTAACCTCTCTTCCTGAAGCATCACATCAGCCTCCTCCCAGACCTCCCAGCCACTAATCTCCCTCCATTCAGTCCTGCAGCCCAGCTTCCACAAGGCCCCCCAGGGGCTTTCTGCACCCACAACCTTCTCCCATGGTTGCCCAGGGTCTCCTGGCACAGAGTCTTGGGGGTCTGCTTGGGACAAACAGTCTTCTCAGCCCAGCATTTCAGGCCCAACCTTTCTAGCAAACCTCTCTACAGAGACATCCAACTTCCCAGTATGGCCTGAAACACGCTTTCTTCTGCCATCCCTGAAAAATACCCTCTTGTCCCCTTCTTATCCTTAGAGTCCCAAGTCAAATGTCTACTCTCTCAGGAAGAGCTGGGGGTCTGGAATCAGACTGTCTGGGTTCGAACCCAAGTTCCAACACCTCCTAGCTTTTTTGACCTCAGAAAAACGGCCCCTTTTCATCATGTGTCAGTTTCTCAAAAGTAGAGCAGGGGTGAAGGCTTAGGTGGTGTCTGCGTGTGACTCATCTCTGGGTCCCAGCAACGGCCAGCACAGGGCCTGGCCATAGGAAGCCTCAGGAAACATCTGATAACAAAGGGGAGGAGGGGGCATCGGCGAGTGGGTGAGTAGCCCCAGTCAGGTGCTGTCCTCTGGACACAATGGCACACTGCACCAGAGAAAATGCCACACCCCATCAAGTAACTGGAATCCACAGGGCTCTCCCAAAGAGTAAAGGGGGTGAAAAGACAACTGTCCCCATGGCCTGAGTCTCATGGTCCCTGCTCTTTTCTTGAATGGGCATCCTCAGCCCATTTTACAGAGAGGAGAAAACCAGGGAACAGAGAGAACCCAGTTTCCAAACAGGGTCACACATGCCTCAAGAGTAGGTCTGGGATTGTACCTAGGTCCCACAAATGCCTTCCACTGCGCAGACCTAGAAAAAAGCAGGTGGTGAAGGAGAAAGGGAGGGAGGCCTACCTTCTTGGAGAAGAAGATTTGGGTGGAATCTCCAGCCTCCTCTACAGGAGCCCAGTGCAGGAGGACGTCATTGTCCTGAGGGAAGAGGGGAGGTGTTAGAGGCGCTCCCCACACCCCACTGCCAAAGCTTTCCCCGACAGGTTTCCAAACTTCTCCAGTCTCCACCCGCCACCCTGCAAAGCCCCGCCTCTCATTTCAGTTCTTATGCCCCCACCCCCTCCCGCTTTCTAAAGTCCCATGGCTGACAGCCATACCATACTCCTACAGATGCCGCCTCCATCCCGCTGCCTCAGAGCCGGCCTGAGCCCGGCTCCCTCCCAACCCACCTTCTCCACGACGCGGATGACACCAGCAATGAGGGAGTCCGGATCCTGGTACTTCTTAGCACTGGTGTGCAGGTACACGCCTCCCTTCTCAAACACCACCTGGGGGCAGGAACCAGTGAGGGGCGGCGCCAAGTGAGGGACGACAGGTCAAGGAGGCGGGGCCCTGGAGGGAGCCAATGGGGGCGGACCCCGGGAGGAGCTATTCCTAGGGGGCGGGGCCAGGAAGGCCTCCGCTGAGGGGACAGTCGTGGTCAAGGCCAGAGACACGCTCGGCGTTCGGGTGTGGGTGTGCATTCCAGAGGGGGCGGGGCCCAAAGAGTCTCCAGAGCCCAGGAGGCGGGGCTCAGAGATTTGGTCTCCCCTTGGGCAGTGGACTGGAGCGTTTATGAGAGGTCGGTGTTCGCTAAGGCTCTGCCGACCTCCCAGTGTACCCTCACGGCCTCAGGGAGAAGCAGACCGCTGGACCGGGGTGTTTCGAATAGACAGAAGCGAGGGAATACTTACTCTGTAGCCAGCACCTTCCATAGCCACCGCCGAAGGCCCCACTGCCCCGGCCTCCTCCTTTTCCGGGTCAACGTGTTGTCACATCCGGAAAGAACACTCCCCCCAAAGCCGGACAGTGGTAGCACCCGTATCAGTTCTAGAGCACAAGTGGATGAAACCATCTTTAAGAACGGGGTAATTTAACTACAAAGATTCAAGTCACATGGCGCAGACGCTATAGAGCTAGCCAGAGTGCGCAGGCGCAGTGTTACCACTCTCACCACGAAGTAAACAAGTGGGAGGGTCTAACAAGAGCTCCACCACCTACCTCAAGCTCTCCCCGAAACGCCCACTTCCTTCTCCATATTGTATACTGGCATCGAAGCCAAGAAGGTGCCATTTTGCTCGAGGGCACGGCCAAAGCAGGTCGCCTGAGGCCATGTTAATACGGGGCAGTCTCATCTCTCTGCGAGGCGCAACAGCAAGGTGCTGGAAAAGAGGAACGGACAAAAGAAAAGGTGAGAGGAACCGTCCACCACAAGAGGCGCTGAGGGACTCGGGATAACGGGAGGAAGCCGTCAGTGCCCCCGGAAACGAAGCAGCCCCAGACGAATTCCTGAGTCACCGTCGAGAGAAAGCGGGCCGAACTGCCATTTTGAAGCTGGGCAAACCGAAGCCAGAATGCTGACATATTGGATCTTTGCCAGCCTTGGTGTTGAAGGGGGGAAGGTTGGAGGGAGGGAGAGCCCATGTACATTATGGGCAGATGAAGCCAGGCTGGCTGCCATGTCGTTAACGGGAACAGATTTCCTCTACTTCTGCGGAAGAAGTTGATTGTGGGTGAGGGACGTCAGGTTGCTCGCCCTAAGTTTACTGTGGTCATGAGTGAGCACGTGCGGACAGCCATATTTCTTGGGGGCATATCAAAATGGTCTAGGCTTGTTTCTGCGCAAGCTGAAGCCTTTCTTTCACCATTTCTCTTATGGGAACCTTGTTGTCGCCGTTGCCCACTGGTCCGGATGAAGCCCCTGTGGCCGCCATTTTGACTTCGGGCGGCCCGGATAAGGGAGGCGGAGTGTGCGGAGTGGAGGAGGGGCAACTACGCGGACGTGACGCACGGCGCCGCCATGTCTTTTGAGGGCGGCGACGGCGCCGGGCCGGCCATGCTGGCTACGGGCACGTGAGTGGAGGCGGCGTTGTAAACCGCGGTGTGGGGAGGATTTGGCCATTCGGAGGCAGCGGGGCGCTGGGAGGGCAAGCGGCTCGTGGGAGGGGTATGGCCTACATAGAACAGAGGGCAGAGATCACCCAGCGACCCTTTGCCGAGCGCTGGAAAGAGATCGCTTGCGAGCACCGTCGTGTCTGACCCGAGGCAAATCCTAGACAGCCTTCCTTCCGGTGTCCAGACCCACGGGGATCCTTACCTTGGCCGAGGATCATATCCACGGCGTCGGGGGGTTGCTCGGAGGGCCTCGGGGCGCCCCTCACCCGTCCAAGGGCGGGACTTCCGGTCCTGGCCCCCGCCTGGGCGGGATTTCCTGTTTTCTTCCTAGAGAAGTGGGTCTTCCCTGGACCCCCGGGCGAGGTGGGGAGTTCTCCGAACCGCAGAGCAAGGCCCCAGACATTCACCCCACCCCTGGCTACGGTGTGCATGATCGGGTTCCTCACGTCTTCGGGTGAGGGGCCCTTGCATTTTGACAGGTGGGGGGTTCACTAGCATTCCTCCTTCCTTGGGGGACTTTCCTCACCTCTTCCTGGAGTCACTTTCCCCTGTCTCCTCTCCTTGCGTCTCTTCCCTCCTCACTCATCCTAAGAGGCCAGTTGCCTTACCGCTCCCCCTCCTCTGCAGAACAGATCTCAGCTGCTTCTCATCTCTGTCTAATCTTGAACTCCAATGGGGCGGGGTTCTTTCTCCATCTCTCAGCTCCTTGGAGGAGACAGGACTTCCTCCAGAAGCTGAGGGATAGGGATACCGCCTTGGTCTGGGCTACCCTCCCTCTGGGTAGCAGACTCCAGAAAGCCCAGGCCTTGGCAGAAAGGTCTGTTTAAATGGCCCTCCTGCTTTTGCCCATGCGTCCTCTCTAGGTGGGGGAACCACCACAACCCACTCAGCCCCATTTCACTCTGTTCAACCCTGTGGTTACTCCAAGACACAGCACAGAGCGGGAGTTTAACCCTGATGTCCTCTTCCAGGAAGCCTGCCCCCTTATTCTCTATGCGTCATTAGGGACTAGGGGCCCAAGGACATGAGAACCCCAGGCCTAGCACTGCCAGTGTGATCTTGGACTAGTCCTTTCCCTGCTCTGAGCCTCACTGTCCTCCATCAGATGAGAACAACATGAGGAGTGTGTTTGAGACACTGGGCTCCTCCCAGTTCTGTGGGTTTGGGGGCCAGGCAGACAGCAGTTTCACCCCCACTTCTGCCCTGTCTAGCTGTGTGCCTCCTGGCCAGTATCTTAAGCTCTCTGAGCCTCACTTTCCCAATCCGGATTAGAAGATCGTAAGTTTTTCCTTACAAGGCAGGCAGAATGGTGGCTGGGATTAAGAACAGGCTCTGGATCCAGACTGTCAGAGTCCAGATCCCAGCCCTGCCTCTTTCCAGCTGTGTGACCCTGGTCAAGATGCCAAGTCTCCCTGGACCTGAATTTACAACTGTAAGATGGGGTGGTAACAGCTCCTCCCTCATAGGGTTGGTGAGAGGGTGGGATAAGAAGGTTGATCACACTCAGATCCCTGCCTGCCGAGTATGAAGTGCTAAATAAATCCCTTCTGTCCAGCAGGGCTTTGTACTCCCTAAGCCCGGTCGTGAGTTCACAGCTCCCACCTTCATGGGTCGGACAGAAGGTGAGGTGCCAGGTCTGGAGTCGCTGCACGGAGTAGGTGCTCAGCAAACACTGGCGTCTGTGATTATGAGTCACACAGGGCCTGCAAGTGGAATGCAAACTCCAGACTCCCTGCTCCCTTTCACTGCAGCCCTGGTGGGCTAGACCATAGCTCTGCTTGAATCCCTCCAATGACAGTGTGCTCACCACCTCCCCAAAGAGCCTCTTCAGCTACCCAACAGCTCTGGCTCAACCACTGTGGTTAACTGGGGAAGGAAGTGAGGCACAGAGAGGGCTGGTGAGTGATCCAAGGTCACACAGCAGGCTTGAGACAGAGTCAGGGCAGGAACCCAGCCTTCTCACCCCTCATTCTTCAGCAGATAGTCTGTCTGCTTGGGGCCAACCTGGCTTGGGGATGGAAGTCCCTGACATTGGGGAGTTCACTGTCTGATAGAAGAGGCAGACAGAGGTATAACTGTCAAAGCTTAGGTGACATGAGCTATAATGGAGGGAGCCCAGGGCATCGTCGGGGCTAGTGAAGTCATCTCATCCATCCTAGGGATTAGGGGAGACTTGGAGAGGAACTGCCAGAACAGTCTTGCAGGAAGTACGTAGCTTTGCGGGTGGATTTCCACTTATAGGAACCACCTTGTCCGTAGGCCCAGGCCTCAACGGCTCTGGAAGGCTAGAGAGGCATGTAGCCTGTGAGGCCGGGGCGGGCTGAGGAGCTGGGACCCTGTCCTGGGGGTTCAGGCCAGGGCCAGGGGCAGCTCCGGGTACAGAGGGACTTCTCCCGGCCTCGTGCCGGACGGACTGGAGGGAGGCGATGGTGCAGGGCAGCACTGGCTGACAGACATGCCATGCAAGCCCCACGTGGAACTTTAAGTTTTCTAGAAGCTATGTTGAAAGGGTAAAAAGAAAACAGATGAAACTCATTTTAACCATATTTTATTTAGCCAGTTTATCTAAAGTGGTACTTAAACATGGATTCAGCATGGGATTGCGACTGAGCTGGAGTGCTTTCTACTTTTGTACTCGGTCTTCGAGTCCGCTGGGTCGCACACTCACGGCTCCTCCCTGCCGTGTGGCTGGTGGCTCCTGCCGGGACGGGGCGCGGGGGTGGTGGGAGTCTGCAGAGGAGCGGGTCTGGAAAGGACGGGGTGGCTGGGAGAGGCGTGCGGATTCGGTGCAGCCAGCCCAGCCTCAGCCCCCGCTGTCCTGCTCTGGCCCGCAGGGCGCGGATGGCGTCGGGGCGCCCCGAGGAGCTGTGGGAGGCCGTGGTGGGGGCCGCCGAGCGCTTCCGGGCCCGGACCGGCACGGAGCTGGTGCTGCTGACCGCCGCGCCGCCGCCCCGCCCGGGCCCCTGCGCCTATGCGGCCCACGGCCGGGGCGCCCTGGCGGAGGCCGCCCGCCGCTGCCTCCACGACATCGCCGCGGCTCACAGGGCTGCTGCCGCCGCCCGGCCCCCTGCGCCCCCACCAGCACCACAGCCGCCCAGCCCCGCGCCCAGCCCACCCCAGCCTGCCCTGGCCAGGGAGGACGACGAGGAGGACGAGGACGAGCCAACAGAGACCGAGACCTCTGGCGAGCGGCTGGGCGTCAGCGATAACGGAGGTGAGTGGGCGGCGGGAGGGGCTGGCGTGGCTGCCGCTGGGCAGTTGTCCGCAGGAGGCTTTCCTGCGGTGGGACTTGCTTGCCTCCGAGCCCTGATGTTCCTTGGAAGCTGCAGTCTCCAGAGCCTGGCAGCCAGACAGGCTTGCCCATGAGTCACTAGGTGACCCTAAGCCAGTCATTTCCTGTCTCTGAGCCTTACTGGTTCCCTTACACTGGCGCCTGGGCCAGCTTTGTGCTGGGAGCGTTGGGCACTGAGACTCAAAGCAGACTCTTGCCCTTTTCTCAAGAGACTGAGTCTGGCCAAGGAATTGAAGTCGTGACATAAGGCAATGCCTTGTGGAGGCCATGAGGGGGAGGGATACCTCCTGAGCAGGAGGTCGGATGCTTCCCAGAGGCTGGACTGTAACACTAGGGCTTTGAGGCGTGAGTAGGAGTTTGCAAGTGGCTCAAAAACCAGAAGTTGCTCATTTGTTGTTACCAGTGGCTAGCCTCCCCACCGTTGCGGGAGAAAACCTGCATAGGGTGAAGGGCACAGACATCTTGGGTTCAGATCCTGGTGATGCCACTAAGTAGCTGTGGGACCTCGGGCAAGTGACTTAGCCTCTCTGGGCCTCCGGGTCTCCACTGTCAAATGGGGATCATAATCACTCCATATTTGTCTCAGCCTGTATTTGAATCACATCATCCCAAACAGATCTTAGAGAGGTTTCGAGTTAACGGAGCCAATTATTTGCACCTGAGGGTGTAACAGAGCGATAGAACCTGGACTCGCTTGTGCAGATGACCAGGCAGGTAACTAGGGGAAGGGTGTTCGGGACAGAAGGTATAGTAATCACAGAAGCCACAGGGAGGCGGCGGCAATGGCTGGGGTTGAGGGCACATGGAGTGTGACGGGGACCTGACTGTCCCGGGCCTCTAATGCCATCCACAGGGCTCTTTGTGATGGACGAGGATGCCACCCTCCAGGACCTGCCCCCCTTCTGTGAGTCAGACCCTGAAAGCACAGATGGTGAGTGTCCCAGGCTGTCCCCATGCCTGGGGGGCTGGCACGAGGGCAGGGACAGAGGCTGAAGGCCACCCTCTCTCCCAGACGGCAGCCTGAGTGAGGAGACCCCTGCTGGCCCCCCAAGCTACTCAGTGCCCCCCGCCTCAGCCCTGCCCACACAGCAGTACGCCAAGTCCCTGCCCGTGTCTGTGCCCGTCTGGGCATTCAAGGAGAAGAGAACAGAGGCGCGCTCATCAGATGAGGAGAACGGGCAGGTGAGGGGCAAATGGTGTGTTGGGGGGTGGGGAGGGAGGGAGGGTGGCCAGGAGGGCTCAGAGCCACCATCCCCCGTGGATGCCGCTTCGCACCCCTGGGCTGATGAGTCTTCCCCTCCGCCTCAAGAGGTGCGTTGCTGGGCCACAGCCCTGCACTTTTAACCACTGCAGCCTTGTGTGTCCCGGTACCTTGTAGAGAAACCTTGTCCTTCCAGGAGCAGGGCCATTTATAGCGCAGCCGCTCTGGGCAAGGTGTGAGTATTTTGGCATTCCTGGCAGATGGGGAGACTGAGGCTCAGGGGGTCAGATCAGCCCCCCATGCCCACCCTGCCTCCTCCCAGAATTTGTCCCATTCCCTTGTGCTCTGTCTTCCTTCCCAGTGCTGGGCGGCCTGAGTGGGTCCTCCTCACTTATCACTGAAACTCCCTGACGCAATGGGGAAACCGAGGAACTGAGAGGACATGTGGCTTGCCTGAGTCTGGGTCTGTAAAGAGCAGAGCTGCAATTGGAACCCTGCTTCCTTTTGGGAGAGGAGGCCTCGGTCCCCTTACCCCCTCAGGCCTCAGTGTCCTCATTTGCAAACCAGCAATCACAAGGGTGACCCTGTCCCCACACTGTAGGAGGGCCCAGAGAGGCATTGAAAGGTGGAGACGAAGAACAGGGTCTGGTCCGGGCGGGGTCCGTCAGCGCTGTCCTTGCTTGCAACTCCCGGAAACACATTAAGTGAATGTTAGGTCTCCTGAGTACTTGGGTTGGTCTCCTACTCGGCGCAGATCCAGCTGCTTGCCGGTGGCCTCTCTCTTCTACTGGGGGGCAGGTCGAGCTCCGGGTGACAGGGGCTGTAATGGAGGTAGCACTAGGTGCTGGGGCTGCAGGACCCTCCCCAGTGGGAGCCAACATGGGGAGGCATCCTTTCTGTGCAGCTGTGGCCACCTGTGGTTCACCTTTCTTCAGCTGATTATCTCATCTCGGCCCTCACAGGGACCCTGTTATCAGCCCCATTTTTCAGAGGGGGAGACTGAGGCCTAGGGAGGCGAAAATTGTTGTTACAGCTAGAGGTCTAATTGGAACATGACTGGGTCCCCAGCCCAAATCCTCAGACATGAGACCGCCTGGGTGCACACACAGCCTTAACTGTCAACAGACAGTGGCGCTTCCAGGGTGTGAGAAGTAACGGCCCAGATCGAGAAGGGGCGGAGGAGAGGGGCAGGAAGGCTTCTCGGAGGAGGCGGTGTCTGAGTCAGGGTGAAGGGCATTGCTGGCAGTAGGCATCACAGGCACGAGTGGGAGGGCGGGAGCGTGCCAGGAACGGGGGGGGGGGGGGGGGGGGTGGCGCTGACTCCTCCGCGTCGCTGTCTCTGCAGCCTTCCTCGCCCGACCTGGACCGCATCGCGGCGAGCATGCGCGCGCTGGTGCTGCGGGAGGCCGAGGACACCCAGGTCTTCGGTGACCTGCCTCGGCCACGACTCAACACCAGCGACTTCCAGAAGCTGAAGCGGAAATACTGAGGCCAGGCAGGGAGCTTCCCGGCCCTGCGTCCGCCCCGCCCACACTACACCCCCGCCCCGCCCCCGGGGCCAGCCAATCCCGTTCAGATCCGGACCGGCCTCCCCGGGATTGACCAGTCCCTGCCAGTCCCCGCCGTCCTTCGGGCCCACGAGCTCCGGCGCCAAGGAGCGGGATCTGCCCAGTCTCCCGATTGGGTCTGTTGCCCCTTTCTCTGCCCAGCGACAGATTCTATTGAGGGATTGGCTCGCTTCCCTCGTCGGACTGTCTAAGCCGTAAATGGGTCAAATCCGTCGTTTTCTGCCTAGCAACAAGGGCTTTGCTCGCATGGCATTGGCTCCATCCCTGATAGAGCACAGCCAAGGCCCAGGATTGGGTAGTGGCACTCCACTCCACCTAGTGACTGGGCAGCTCCTTCACTTCATTGGCTCGAATCCTGTAAAGGGCTTGACCAATTTCCCAAGAGTCACCGTCCGCCCTTCCCTAGTTCTCCCACCTGATTGGCTCCAGCCTCCTGGGGGCGTGGCCAAGCCCTCCTCTACCCAGAATTGGCCTGCGGCCTTCAATTTAGGTTCTTTACACTACTAGGGCTGGGGTCCTTTTTTGCCCAAGTCCTTACAACTTGTACCCCTGGCCTCCTTAGGGATGGCCCAATCCTGTCCCTGCGTCTGACACCTCATTGATTCCATCCCCACAACAGCCTGCCAATCGAAGCCCGTCCCTGCATCCAGGACGGTACCAGCTCCCGCCCCTCTCCCCCCAACCCCACAGGTGCCTTAAAAGGCCCTCGTCCACCCGAGGTGGGGGGCTGGGGGCCTCACTCTCCGGCCCTGGCGTGGGGGAGAGAGTGGGGGATGGGGTATCGGCAGTTGGGAGGGACGCTCTGTAATTAAAGAGTTTTACCTCTGACAAATGAGTGTGAGGAGTGTTACTTGTGTTCGTTCAACAAACATTTTCTGAAGCTGAATGAGCAGCATCTGGTTCTCAGTAGAGTTGGAATTACTGTCACCATTTTATAGGTAAGAAAACGGAGATTCATGGGGTACGGGTAGGGGAGGATTCTAGTCCTGTGTGATCATGGAACCCCAATCTTAAGGGAGATGAGTGTTGGAACCGGAATGGTCCTTAAGGAATCAGTCTCTGGAGCCCACATATTCCCCAGCAAAGCCAGGAACCTCCAGCCGGCAGTTTCCTGCCATAAGAAGACGACTGAAGGTTAGAGCGCAAGTAGAACCAGGTCCGAAGTTAGAACCAGGTAAACACGGAATCTCCATCTCCCGTGTGATCACCACGGGTAGAGTGCTAACAATAGACAAGACTTAAACAGGGCTTACTACCATTCAAACACTTTTATAAGCTGTTGGTATGTATTACCTCCTTTAATCCTAGTAACACCACGAAGTGGAAACAATCACCCCCTTTATAGGCGGGAAAACTGCAGCACCGAGGGTAGAGCAAAAGAACGAAAGACCTAGGACTAGGAGTGCTGTCAGGGGCGGGGGCTACTTCGACTAACAATGATCATTACATGGGAAAGAAAGCTTAGAGGTCAAAGTGGAAAGAAAATCTGTGAACGGAGGATCCACTCCCTCTACTGGCCTGAGCTTCGCATTGCAACAAGAGAGATGAAGCGGAAGGACCCTAAGGGCCAGAGGTCTGGGAGGGGGCGGGGCTGCCGTCGTGGGAGGAGCCAAGGCTCCCCCCCCCCGTCCCCCCGTGGGACGAGTCATTTCCGTCCGCCGAGGCCCAGAGAGCCGCCCGCCGAGGTGCGGGCAGAGCGCCTCGGGCAGCAGCCCCGCCTGGGTCGGAAGTGGCGCCTGAGCCCGAGCGGCGGGCACAGGTGAGTGTGGGCGCGAGACGGGGGCAAGCGAGAGGCTCCGGGTCTCCGCCTTCGGAAAGCAGGGATCCCACCTCGCCGACGGATGGAGCTGGCGTCGTCGCCTGGGAAACGGCGCAAGCCCGAGGCTGGCGAAGGGGTGGGATTTCCGGAGCCCTCAGAGGCTGGAGGGAATTTCTGGTGGTAGTGGGAGGAGGCGGGACTTCCTGTAGCGAACTCGGGCGACTTGCGGCTGAAACCCATTTACCTGCTTCCTCCCTAGGCCGGCACCTAGGATGGCGGAGGTGGAGGTCCAGGGCCGCCTGTGGCTGGAGAGCCCCCCTGGAGGGGCGTCCCCAATTTTCCTGCCCTCAGGAGGGCAAGCCCTGGTCCTGGGCCGGGGACCCCTGACCCAGGTTACGGACCGGAAGTGCTCCAGAAACCAAGGTGGGCAGGACGGGGCCTGCTTCTGGAGCGGGAACACTGGCAGTGGGAAAGGTGGACAGTTAATCGAGTGAGAGAGACGGTCAGCTGGCCTCTAGGTGGAATTGCGTGGTGTAGCCAGTTCCAAAGTTGGAAGATGCCCTGTGAGGAGCACAGAAAGAGAAGGGTTGTGCTTGACTTAGAACTAGGCAGACCCCTCAGGGGAAAGGGGATGGAGCCAATTCCGAGAGAATGGTCACTGGGCGGAGAAAGATGCTCATAGGCCATCGTGAAGGCCTGAAACAGGCTACAGCCCTTGCCAAAGAGAGACGATCCTACGGAGAAAAGTAAATGTCTCTAGGAAAGGGTGGACGGTAACAGGCCAAGCCCAGGACCTGCATCTAGCCACACTTTTTGTCAAGGAGGAAGCCACTTCTGTAGAGAAAAGTATCCGCCCTGTCCCTAGGCAAGGACCAGTGTCAGGCAATCCTAGGGCCTCTATCTGGCTATTGCATGTCAAGGAGCCAATCCCATTTAGAAATAAACTGCCTCCTACTCCCTCCCGAATGGATGCTATAGCCTGAAGCTGGCGACACTCCCCAGAAATGAGGGAATCAATCAGAAAAGTATGTAAATCCTGACTCTACTCCTTCCACCCTCAGTGGAGCTGGTCGCAGATCCTGAGACCCGGACAGTGGCAGTGAAACAGGTACTAGTGCTTCTGAAAGGGGAAGCAAGGCCTGGGGGTGGGGTTCAGGGAGGAATCACAAGCTGGCGGGTACAGACCCATTAGAAAAATCTGATTGGCTGGGGGAGAAGGAGGTGTGGCCCGTAAAGCAGTGCCTCCTTCAGTGGGGTGGTGTCCTTCCATTCCCTTTCAAATTGGACGACACTGGAAACCTGTAATCTTTCCAAAGCCCCAATTGGTGGTATATAGCGAAGAGGTGGGGCTTAAGGGTCTGATTGGTAGATGCAGAAAGGCAAGTCCTTTCCCAGGGTATTTGATTGGAGGAGGTGTCTTGTGGGGGTGGAGCCAGTCGAAGCACCTCCCTCTTTCTCTGCAGCTGGGAGTTAACCCCTCAACTGCCGGGACCCAGGAGTTGAAGCCGGGGTTGGAGGGCACTCTAGGGGTGGGGGACACGCTATATTTGGTCAACGGCCTCCACCCGCTGACCCTGCGCTGGGAAGAGACCCGCACTCCAGGATCCCAGCCAGATACTCCACCCGGCACCCCTCCAGTGGCTTCGGAGGAGAAGGAGGAAGCTGAGCAGCAGAAGAAGCGGATGCGGAAGTCATCCCCCGGCTGGGAGAACTTGGGGAAGTTGTTAGTGTTCACAACATCTGGGGTGAAGCCCCAGGGCAAGGTGAGGGCCAAGCTGAGGGCTAAGGGAGCAGCAGCATCCTGGGGACTTGATCCCAAGTTTGCTTTGTGCCCGTGTGCCTCAACTTCTTTTAACTTCCATGTACTGTTCTGAGAAATGGCCCTGATAACAAACTCCGGGGTCATTACAAGCAATGGGGAAAATGATGTATGTCAGCTCCTGCCTGACCCACATAACCATCTAGCAGTGATCATGACCATGTCAGCAGGAGTTATGACGAGTATCTTTTTAGGGCCAGAGAGACTTGAGTTCAAACGCTGTTACCACCACATTCTCTGAGTCCCACTTCTCACTGCTACGATGGTGATTCCATGAAAAGCACGTGGCACAGTCCCTGATGTGCAGTTAGCACCGATCAAAGCTTTGCTCCTGTTTTTATTGTCACGGTTATTAACCCTGTGCAGTGGAGGAGGCCAGGGGAGAAGGGTGGCTAAGATACCCCCATTTTAAGGACTGGAGCACTGTGGCCGGGGGCGCAGGAGTGGTGGGAGCCAGTGAAGATCTCAGGCTCTGCACTTGGGGTATCAGTGACAACGTTCTTGCTGTGCCATGTCCTCACACAGACATGCAGGTGCTCTGTGACTCCGTTTCCCCATCTCTAAGATGGGGGTAGTAATAGACCCTGCCTCACTGGGTTGCTGTGAGTCACCCTGAGTGAGGAGGGTCAGAGATGTCACAGTACTGCTATTCCTCTTTTCTTGGCAACACCAGGTGGCCGGCTTTGATCTGGATGGGACCCTCATCACCACACTTTCCGGGAAGGTCTTTCCCACTGGCCCCAGTGACTGGAGGTGACAAGAGGCGAGAGAAGGATGTGAGTGAGGCCTGGAGTCCACCTCCAGGCCCCGGGTGACCCCTACTGCTTCCTACCCACCCTAGGATCTTGTACCCAGAGATTCCGAGGAAGCTCCGGGAGCTGGAAGCCGAGGGCTACAAGGTGTGTGCACGTGGTGTCCAGACTGCGGGTCAGACCAGGGCCCTCGTGAGGAGGGTGCCTGGTGACACCCATCTCTTCTCCAGCTGGTGATCTTCACCAACCAGATGGGCATTGGACGTGGGAAGCTGCCAGCAGAGGAGTTCAAGGCCAAGGTGGAGGCTGTGGTGGAGAAGTTGGGGGTCCCCTTCCAGGTACGGCTGGAAGGGAGGCTGAGGGGCTATGTGGGAGACCCAGAGAGGGTTATGAGACCCCAATTGAAGAAGAAGGGGAACAGGGACCCTGGGATGAGGGGCAGAGGCCTCGGAGGGGCGGCTATGCTGCCAGGAACCCAGCATAAGCCACCAGCTCTGGGTCACTGGCAGCTCTCCCTGCGTTGGTGAGTGTTGGGGTAGCATCCAGTGGGTGCTCCAGGGGGAGCTGAGGATGGCGTGACCCCTCCCCATCCACAGGTGCTGGTGGCCACACACGCGGGCTTGTACCGGAAGCCAGTGACTGGCATGTGGGACCATCTGCAGGAGCAGGTGAGCTGCGCTGCCACTGGCCTCCTGCCCCGCCGCCCCCTGGGTCTCTCTGGTCCAGTCCTCTTTCTCACTCCTCCTCTCCTGTCCTCCTTTGGTCCCCAACTTCTGTTTTTACTTGTCACATCCTAGGTGTTGGTTTATGAGGACAGTGCTCTCGAACTCTGAAAATCAGAGTGGTCGAGAGAGATACTGCTCATTTGTTCATTCATTCCTATGTGTGCCTTCGTTCTGAAGTTCAGCCCATTTTTGTGCTGAAGACATTAGCGAAGGAGAAAACGCGTCCGCGGCAGCAGTGTACAGTGAGGGCGGGACTGTAAGTGGGTAGACTGGGTGTAAAATAGCAGAGAGTGAAGCAAGACAAAGCAAGGTGTTGGTTTAGCTACAGTGCTCAAGGATGGCCTCTCTGAGAAGGTGGCGTTTGGGTAAAGGTGTAAAGCAGGTGAGGGAAGGAGCCATCGATGCCCGGGGAGAGGCGCAGACTGGAGCAACAGCCAGTGTAAAGGCCCTGAGGTAGGGCCGGGCCTGGTACCGTTACCGGCAGTGGGGCAGCCCATGTGGCTGGACCTGAGTGAGCGAAGGGAGAGAGCAGGGCCTTGTGGGCCACAGTGAAGACTTTGCTTTTACCCGGAGTGAGGCGGGAGCTGGGGAAGGGCTGCAGGAGAGGGGCTGCGAGCTGACATCGTGGGCACAGGCGCCCCCTGGTGGCCACTTGGGGAACTGACGGGAGCGGAGGCGGAGGCCGGGAGACAGCAAGGTGACTGGAGTCCAGGCAGAGGTGATGGTGGCGGGCTCCAGGTGAAGGTGGTGACAATGAGTGAGAAGTGGTCGGA